AGGTATCATGTGAAGTCAAACCCTTACCTGCCCATTTTCCATACTTCAACAGATTGCAGCTAGCAAATCTTGGAAGCAGGTGACCACGTATAAGGGAGCTCACAAACCTCATCAGGTCAAGGACTACTTTTAATGAGCATATAGCTCCAAAGGTAGCTAACGCATTTTTATAGCGGACAAGGAGTCACTTCCTAATGCAACATACATGGCCAGGCGGCTGCCGCAATTTACGCGAGCATGCTAGGTAGTCCGATCGCTGCCTGCTATTTAGCGCTCAATCGCTGTCACAAGCAGAACAAGATAAAGCGCATTGTCATCGATAAGCCAAGTACCAGATAAATTTTATGAGGCAATTTCGATCCCACTAAACTTCACAATCACCAAAGGATAGCAATCCGAAACGAAGACGCACACAAAACAAACAAAACATATGTCCTTGGTACTGTAGACGTTCCCGACGAACGAATTACATATACTGGTGCATTGTGTTTACGGTAGGATGATCATGCTAGTGGCAAATGTGGGCCAATTGAGGCGTTCGAATTTGGTAAGAAATTACATTCAAACTGGAGTCACCGTTTGATCTGGGGGGGCACACGTTTACAAAGTTGCAAAATGCCTTTATTCACAACGCCAGGAGTGAATCCAGAATATCATGTGCATCGTTATTTACATCAGTATTAGGAAGCCATGAGAACACGTTCTTGGGCTGCACGGCTCAAACACTGACGTCATGATCTCTTGGACGAGTCGATTTCGCACAAATGAGAAAATTTTGGAGGAGCTGTATTGCCGACTTTCGGCGCCTGCTTTAACGGTTCTCTTCGCCGACAGGAAGCCATTGACGACGTTTTCACTTGGCGTCGGGGATCGTAAGACTCTCAGCGTATCCAGCCTCAAGCAATAGCAACTCGCTCGTTCAATGATTCCTAATAAAATATCCGTAGATGTCAAGTGCCCTCGTTATGTTGCGATTTATCAGCATTTTGGATAAAACAGGCCTTGTTGAGGTTGATGAATATTTGACCGGCGACCTGACACTACCCGGACTTGAATTTTGTATATGTCCGTCCTGAAAGCCCGGGAGGGTATGCCAAGCCTCGGTGCGCCAATGCTCGGCGTTTTAATGTAATCCATGCCCGTGCTGGTGGGGTCTCCCACCTCGGGCAGTGCAGTTTGATTCACGATATCCAGGCACAAGGTCATGATGTTGGTACATGTTTGGGTACTTTTGGTACGCTTTTGGTACAGATGACATGCGTGCATGTATGCATGACAATCAGCGAACACTCATCTTCTCGGCACTAAAAAATAATGTCGCCCCCGACAGCTGCGAGCAAATGAAGCCAAAGGCAGGGCAGGTACAACGGTTCTCCCTAGACAGAGCGAGTGCTGGTTATAAGGCGTAAGATCAAGTGGGATTCATTTCTGTTCCTCTGTGGGCAAGTTAGCGGTTTATTCGATTTGTTTTTGCCTTATTTTAGGATGCGATAATCGCGTCACGGAAAGGAGAATTAACTGGCAGAAGTGTTGCGCGAATACTTACACACCAGGTGAGGACAATAGCTCGAACAATAACTCACTTTGTGGTACTGATGCCTTGTCCCGACCCATCCGTTAAACGACTGCGATTGGGTTGCGATCGTTACCTTCCCCGTCACAATCCTGGTAGCCCAGCCGCCTCCGTCTCAAATTCTGATCGCGCCCTTGGTGTGAATGGACGACAATGTGCGTCCGGTTTTCTGAATTGCAACCTTTTCTTTGTAGTTTGTGTTGCAATCTGGTCGCGATGGCGCGTGGTAGGCGAAAGGCTGGTAAGTAGCAAGATGTGTGATTGATGTCATGACAACTGTATTAAATAGGTATTGCATGCAGGTTCATGCATCGCAACTTCCTACCAAAGCGTGCAATCTTGCATAAATATCGTGAATGAAACCGCACTGCCTCAGGTGGGTTTGATGCAGACCCCATCAGCGTGAGCATGGATTACATTAAAACGCCGAGCGTTGGCGCACCGAGGCTTAGCATACCCGCCTGGACTTTCAGAACGGTCGTATACCAATTAAACGTTCGAGCAATGCCAGGTCGAGAGCCAAACATTCATCAACCTCTGCATGGCTTGTTTTACCCGAAATGTTGGTAAATCGTGACGTTACGAAGGCACATGACACTTCAGGGCATTTGATTGGAAATCATTGAATGAGCGGGTTGCTGTTGTTTGAGGCGGGGTACGCTGAAAGTCCCACGATCCCCGACGCCCAGTGAAAGCGCCATCAATGGCTCCTCGTCGGGCGAAGAGAGACGTTAAAGCGCGTGCCGGAAGCCGGCAAGACAGCGTCCTCCAAAATTTTCCCATATGTGCGAAATGGGCTCGTCCAAAAGATGATGACGTCAGTGGTTGAGCCATGCAACTAGTGAGCGAGCCCTCATAGCTTTCTTATGCTGGAGAAAACAATGGCGCGCGCCGCCTACGGAATGGCAAGGGGGGAGGGCAATAGTAGCGTTTGCTTGCATTTTTTTCAAGATAAAAAATGTAGCAATTTTCGCCTCGGGGCACGACCTGGTACCCTCCTCCGCCGCCGTTGATCCGCCTCTGCGTGCATCCGTCGAGAATGCTGATGGAGGCTGAATTCGAACTCAAGACCCAACGTCGAGCCTCAGGTAAGATTGGATTACCATCGAGTGGCAATATCAATCGCTTCGTCAGGGGTTCCCAATGGGTGCCACGGGCCCGGCCCTGCGGGCTAGGCCCCTTCAGACGACCTCCAGACAACGTTTTGACCCCTTAGTTGTCGGTCCTGAGGATCCCGAAGAAGAAGACCCCCGGAGGATCCCCGGAACCTAAGGGAGAGGCACGCGCCCCTATGCTCTCCCTGCCTCCGCCACTGGACATTGGATGGCAGGGGCATTTACAAAACCAGTTGCACGTAAACAGGTTTCCAGTTGCAGGCGGCGTATAACGTATGCAACATTACTATACTAATTGTATACTGATCACCGGTATGACAAACACACAGAAACCACAATGACCTCGCCCAACTGGATCGACTCACCTGCCCACTTGCCGTGGCGCGTCACGTCCGTATCGGTCCATCTCGGCAGAACATAGCCTACCAGGAGCGAGCAGAACAAGCGGAGTGTGTTGAACGCGGCCTGCACCAGCAGCGCCGTGACCACCGCGCCGCAGACGCTCGCGACGCTGTTCTGCCACAGCAGGAAGTCCATGGCGGTGGCGGGATGTGGCGCGCGGACTTGCCGGTCGGCGGCGCAGCTGGCGGAGGCTGCTGTCAGTGGGACGGGCGCCGGCCGAAGACTGGCCGCACGCCGCACGCCGCTCACCGACCGCCGCCGCTGCCAGCGTGCATCGCCACCCGCCTACAGAGGGAGGGGGTGAGGTGGGGAGCTGGTGAGGAGGCCCGAAGGCATCCGAGCATCATAGGGCATCATAGCGGAAGGCATCATGGTGACGGGAGGGAGAAGTCGATTCCGACGGGTTTGGGGTCGCGCGCTGACGGCCGGCCGTGGCTCAGCGGCTTCATTGCAGTCACAGCTCGTCGGCCCGGGACCAGCGTGATGCAAGGCGCCGTTTTCAAACCGTTGGCAAACGACGTGCATTGCCTTAGACCGCCGGTTGCGTAAGTGCAGGGCGGGTTAGCGGGAGAGCTTTCTCGGCCCGGTGGTTGCAGCTCCGTCCGGTCCGCACGGCATGTGCATGAGCTCTGCTCCCGGTACCGCTAGCCCATGCTGCCACCCCGCTCAGTTCCGGCAGATCAACGTTGTTAATTGTGTGCTGATGCATGCAATTTGTGAGAATGTTGGCATAAGGTTGACAATAGTGAACTTTGCCTGCGTCATGCGAAGCTTCTGCGAAATTCGTAATGCGATGCGCATAGTGTGCGTCTCAAACGCAACAGCACGCGTCTACAAGGCGGCTGGCTTCGTCATCCATGCTTCGTCGCTGTGCAGTAAATGTCTGCATAAATTCAGAAGTTTTTTTTGCGGTATTCCAAGGGTGCCTTTCAGCACACGTGACTATCAGTACGTACAAGTGCCTTGATCGTTGGACCTAAGTCAAAACAATTGATTGTCATTTGTTTGTGCTAATGGGTCGGACATTTGTCTCTCCCTGTGGCGTATTACGTTACATGCATGCCGCGTAGCATCCGAATTACGAGCCCGCTTCGAAGCCAGCGGCAACGTTTGTAACCTCAGCAAGTCGCAGACAGGTATCATCTGTTGCAAGCACACGCTCGCAGTGATTGCAGCAAAGTTGAACGGCGTTGGAATACCCTGGCGGAATGCATGCCCGACCGCCTGGATACCGCCTGCGGCCAACCGTCAGTTTGGTGGCAGGACGCCGCACCTACCCAGCTCCGTCTCCGGATACACTCCAGGCACAAATCACCTCGGCCCAATGTGAAGTGCTTTCGGTGCGGGTACACTCTCCTTTGGTGCACGCATGCGTGACCACTGTCACGTGACAGCGACGATTCCTGTTGTGCGGCGGCTGGTGGTACCACGGCAACGGCCGCAGGTGACGGTCGGTACCACGGCACTGGCTGCAGGTAAGGGCTGGTACCACGGCACCTGCCACAGGTGACGGTTGGTACCACGGCACCGGCCACAGGTGACGGTTGGCACCACGGCACCGGCTGCAGGTAACGGCTGGTACCACGGCAACGGCCGCAAGTGACGGTTGGTACCACGGCACCGGGCCACAGGTGACGGTTGGTACCACGGCACCGGCCACAGGTGACGGTTGGTACCACGGCACCGGCTGCAGGTGACGGTTGGCACCACGGCACCGGCTGCAGGTAAACGGCTGGTACCACGGCAACGGCCGCACGTGACGGTTGGTACCACGGCACCGGGCTGCAAGTAACGGCTGGTACCACGGCACCGGCTGCAGGTAACGGGCGACCACCTGCAGCCCGCAGCCAGGTCCACCCGCCACGCGTCTGCCATGCGTGTGTTCGGGGTTTTTATGCTGTGGTTTTTGAGGCGGGTGAGGGTGTCATCTGTGACCGCACACCTGACATGGTCACGCAGTTGTCAGACAGTTCTCATTTCGGGGCGCACCAGCTGTTGCACGAACTCTTCCAGGTGGGCTCGCCGGTGTTTGATGCATCCGAAATACTTAGACAGTCTTCACGAACCATGGAGGCATGCATAATGGATCAGTTTTCTGTTTTCACTGCAGAGACTGTTCATTGTACCGCTGGTGCTGCACACCGTTAGGCCATGGCAGTCACGAAGTACGCTGGTGTCCGGCTCACGACTCTTTCACAGCACAGGGCTGGTCGCTGCCCGGCTGCCGTGGGATGCGCTTGGGTGAGGTCGAGACAAAACAGAAGAGAAACTCTCCACGTGTGACGCGGAAGCGGCACTCGCCAGCACGCCAACCCCGCCACGTTCGCAGCAACAGCGTCGCTCTCCGCTCCCGGCCCGTGCCGCGGGCGGCGATACCCGTGCTGATTGGGATCGGGTCTGGGCCCATCGGACGGCGAATGTCGGGCCGGGCCGCCCCCTCCCCCCCCCCCCTTCCCAGTGACGCAACTGACTCCGCTGCACCGCGCGTGGACCACCTCGGCTGGGCGTCACTCGGTGCCGGCCGGGCGGAGGGGGGGGGGGGGGGGGGGTGGAATAACAGAATCGCCCGCTTGCCGGGACGGTTGCGCAACGCACGATGGCCTGATATGCGAGTGCGTAATTACGTTGCTGCTGCTCAAGGATGCGGTGCAGTCGATATTCTGGACTGGCGCTGGAATTGCCCTCCAGCAAGGTCGCGTCACTAGCAGAACGCGCTCAAGTCAGTAAACAACTGCCCTCAAACGGTGTTCGCTCGCCGCTGAATAAAAAATCAATGCAACCGGCTGCAATAAAGAAAACAGTAAAATGTATGACAGGCCACTGAAGCGTGCTATTTGGAAGTATTTTGTCCTATACGACTACAGAAGGTGCGTCGATAAACCAAGCTCTCTGTGTTATGGTAGCGACAGAGAATGTTCTCGGTGCAATTTGATCGTTTTGCCGTCACGACTACAACGCTATACGGCTGTTAACATGCGTAGCGTGTGTTTCGTGTGTGATGATAGCGACACAGCCTCACGCGGGCATGGCTCAATAGACATCTTGGTTAAAGGGAGCTACCACATTAATATGGGGTTATGAACTGAAATAGCCAACTTGAATACCTTTCGGTGCAGTTCACAGTTCTGCCCTTCTTAAGATCTAAACACCCCTAGTTTCTGAGGTACACGCCCGCAAAAATGGACAGGGGGATATTTCAAGGTCACCTTGTCACTCATACGTAAAAGTAAGGTCATTCAAATCCTGCCATCTCATAAGCCATGCAGCGATCAGGACCGAGAAAAAATATAATAGTTGAGTTCTTCATATCTGGCGTTCGTGAGCACGATTTCCTTGTCTTGTGGCCGTGAATTAGCTCTCAATCGTTGGTGAGCAAGGTACGATGACGTAGCCAAACAGACATATTGGGGAGCATATTTACTAAATAGGGGAACTGTAGTGTCTAGAGCAACCTGGTTAACCTTGAAAGATGGTTTAAGAGTGAATCCAAACGCGTTTTGCAAGCGGCTGCCAACCTAACATTACGAGGATGGTAGACGACCTCGCTGCCGCCATCACAAACATCATTTACCGGCTGTGCCGAGCGCAGACATGTGCCCGACCCCAAGCGGTATTCAAATTACGCAGAAAAGCCGCCCATGTCTGTACGGTCGGATCCAGAACATCCTGGGGCACTGTGTGTGCCTTCACATCGTCTCGAGGTTTTGGATGGTGTGTGATGCCGGCACCCGCGTCTGCTTTTATCGCTGAACTGTACCCTATCGCAGCCTGCACTGACCATACCTCGCACCAGGAGCTTTCTTGCTTGGCAACCAGAACCCCGCTGCTTCAGCGACTCAGCTGGCTCAGTTAACATTGGAACGTGTCCGATCTCTGAGAGCAAACGAAAAAAAACGGGTGGCTTTGGTTTGAATATCCAATCACGTTGGGCTGGCCGATAATCAATCCGACGGCTGCATGTGGCGAAGGCTGCGGCGCTACTCCACGAACGGAACACTCAGGCTCGGGTCAGCGACCTCTACGCTGCTGAGGGACACTATCAGCTTGCTGAGTGGCGGAAGCCGTGGGATCAGGAGAACTGCAGGAATAGTCTGACAACCATCCAGCAGAAGACGGAAGCTGGATTTCCTCTTTCCGAATGATTAGAAAGGTAAAATACTTCTGACCCGTCTGTATATAGGTCACACAGCACCTGCAGGTTCCGACTGAACAGCTTAGCGCATGCCCCAACACGTCACCATGCGGGCACATGTTGACCGTCCAGCACAGATCTGGTGACCGTCCTTCTTACGCGTCTCTAAAGGCTGCAGATAGTTTCTGCAGACGCCCTGCCACACCGGTATCCCTTTCAGGTGAACTCCACGCGTTTGAACTTACTGTCATAATGCAGTCTTCCGCCGCGTTTGGACTGAACGTAACTTATTCCCCTCAAGAAGATTGGCGTATACAACAAATGTGTTGACTGATTTTTTGTCGTGTACCGGCATTGGGGTTAGTGGTGGCATTCTGGTCGAGACCGTTATTTTCTCTTACGTTGAACCGGTCTAGCGTGTTTCTTACCGGTTCGACGTATCTCTTACCGGTTTGGCGTGTCCCCTTTGTTAACGTGGTACCGGTCACAGTTCAGTACCGCAGTTAAGACGACTTCAACAGCCGAGGGGCTTTTAAAAACCGAAGTAATTCAGAATCAGAACAGATTCCGGCATGAGACAAAAATTTGTCGACCTGTCAAAGTGTAGTCGGTTGTTTTGTGCTTTCTTGTGATTCGTAGTTGGAATGAGTCAACCAAGTCGTCAGGGAGTAGATCCGGATAAGAATGCAAGCGTGTACGTGTACTTAGACATTATGCTTCCATTAAAGGGAGTGTTCCACATTAATGCGAGGTTCTGAACTGAAATAACCATCTTGAAGACATTTCGGCGCTGTTCACAATTCTGCCTTTCTTAAGACCTAAGCGTGTTTCCTTTCTGAGCTACACGCCCGTGAAAAGGGGAAAGGTATAACGGGAAGAGAATGGCAGTCACATTGACATTCATGCCACCGCATTAGCGTCATTCAAGTTTTGTCATTTAATAAGTCATGCGGCGATCAAGGCGAATAAAGCTGTAATTACCGACGCGTTCATACCTGGCGTTCGTGAGCCCGATTCCCAGATAAAACGACCGTCAATTGGCTCTCAGTCAGTGTTGTGCACTGTGCGATGACGTAATCAAACCATGACACAAAAAACACATTTACTACACAGAGAATTGTGTTGTCTGTAGCCCTCTTTCCAAAAAGCACAGTGATTGTTATAAGTAAGCTTGTTTCATCATATCGGATGCTGGCTTCATTATCTTCAAATGTGAAACATCCTCTTAAATGCAAACTTTGTTATAAGCAAGGCAAATGTACATTTTTCGGTTCTTCTGCGTCTGCTCGATTGTTCGAATTAAACCCTTCGTTGTTCTCGTTAAGTCATACATAAGTTCGCCTATAGTAATTTATATTAGTTCAAGGCAGCTAACGTTTCAAGGAAATTCGTTTCCCATTATCTAAGCGACGCAAAACAGTCGGACGGTAAATATTCAAATGTAGCAAAATATGAGGCATGCTCTGCGAGACATATACAAAGGCGAACGATCTGATTATGCATCCGAATATCAGGTCAATTTACAAAACATATACAAACACATGCAGAACACTTTTTCAGTCAGCTTGACACCATGGAAAGTTCGAGGCAATGGATCTACCTGAAAGCATTGGGTGAACAGGTCCAAAGTGACGCATGTCCTGAGTTCTTTGTTTAAGTCAGGTATTCTTTCTCTGATGAACATGACCTGCAGAACTTAAAAACGGCGATTGTTTGGACTTGGTTTTAGAATCTGTGTGTTTCAATCATGTTAGAGCGTAGGAGTTTTGGATAGTGAGGTTTGCACGTACGCTGGTCTGGCGCCCGCTTGTGCAGGTGTATTGTCATGCGTCGTGATAGAGATGTCATGCCATTCCACTATAAGTAGAGGCGGCAACCTTCGTGCGTGGATCTTAATTCATGCACTGCAGTGGCGCGCTTTAGTTGATTTTTGTCTGCTATCACTTGTCAGGTTTCTTTCATTACAACGCTTCTAGTTGTCCTGCTCGTGTGATAAATAGAAAGTCTGATTTCGGTGTCTTTGTCAGCTCCTGTAATCTTTATCCTGATGACGTTCCGCAATACTTTTTCGTCGACCTTATATGACGGAAAAGGTGCTCTCGATAGAACAGTTGATGGGTCGTTTTCTTGCGGAGTGTTTTTAGGTTTTGTTTCTTCAAGTTGGGCCTCATTTCTTGGTCAATTGCGCTGTTCGAATAGTCGTTATAAAGAATTCCTTGCGGCGTTCAAGTTCAGACGCATTTTGTCCCCATAAAACGTGGTATAACTGGTTCCGCACCCACGACTTACAGCCGTACGGCGCTATTAACGTTAAGACTACAGCGCGTCAAGTCATACAGCGCCCTAGAAGAAACCGACGATTGGCTACGTCTTTCAAGCCGGTGAGCGTTGGCGTCACGAACACAACCAGCGGCAGCCTTGCACTAAACTCAAATCACAGCCGCGAAGCGATCACTCAAGAAACACGGAAATGCATTATCTGAAATGTCACAAGCATTTCAAACGTCGCGTAGCCGACTACGTATGTCACGAGGTGCCGAGGACAGCCACCTTTGCTAATAATAAGCTAATTCACTTGGCATTTCATGCTGTTTAGTACGTAAAGTGAATCTTGGTTGAAAAAATATGTGAAAAGCGGTGGCCTGAGGGGCAATGGAAGAGCATTGTGTTACCACTGATCTGTAACGTCAGCACTGGTGTGGTTGAGCTTGCAGGATATTTCTGTTCCCTGCTGAAAACTTCTCTGATTAAAGTCAATATGTTTGGAAGCATCTTGCGGCTCAGCTTGCTCATGCGGCGAAATGTCAATGTTTCGACATGCATTTTACACAAGCTCACACTGCAGGCGCTCGAGAGTACAGACCAATACTAAGCTTCAAGTTTCGTCTAATTGGGGTAGTCTGTCGCACTTTGCTCCCATTTTCGCACCAAGTAGCTTGCAAAAATGTAAATTTTTGTCACCGATCATATCCCGTAAATCGGAAGCTTTGTCACACCTGCCGAGGGCCGGCCATCTTGAAAACGTGCTATTGCAACACGTATTCGAATGCTGCACATTTTCACGGGCCACTTTACCACAGATACCGCAAAACCCAATAAGACAAAACGTCAACCTATGTGACGTTGCCGCTTTTAATCAAACACCGTATTCCTGGATGGAGGAAAGCAAAACCACGACAGGTCAGTCATTTTTTCAGAGTCAAGCAGAGAACGTATGATTTAAAGTAGACGGTCGTCAAAATTCATTCCATCGGCTTGGCTAACGATTTTTGCCACATGTCTTTCATTGCTGCGCAAGTACAGACAAGGTGGTTTTCGTACGCGATCAATGCAGAATGATATTCTTCGGTCAGACATGTCGCGATGACAGGTCAGTAAATAGCCTCATCAAAAACAATTGTGGCAAAACTTGTCATCCCGTATAGTTGCCATTGTGAGATAACCTTGTCGAACTGTAACTGTCAAATATTTGGTCGGTTTAGACGGACACCTTGCGTTAGCAGAAAACGATTGCACAATTTCGCTCGGCAATTGGTTTCCTGGTAAACAGTTTTTCTAATTTTTGTTCGAAACTTAAGATTCGCTTGCATGAGATTCCTAGTTGATCGAACAGGTATACAAAAACGTCGTTGGATTCCGCAGAATTAGGCTACCCACCCATTCTGATCCCGAGGCCAAACTGAGTTACGGCACGAACATCGAAAAAAATGGTCACAACCCAAGCACCGACGTGCGAGTGAAACTACTGCTCGCCCGGCCAAGAGCAATAGTTCCACTCGCCTCCTGAACCTCCCCAGGACGCCGGCGCCGATCTGGTCCGGTTGCGCTCCTGAGAACGCTCCGCTTGCATCCCGGCGCCCAGTGACGCCCGATCGCCAACCGCTCAAAAACACCACCGTGCCCTCATGGAATGATCGCTCGTATATTTGTCGACGCTGAGCGCGGACAACAAATATATGTACGAAGTACATATGCGCGTAAAAACGAAAACACCCCGCTTCCGGTCACAGGTGCGTCGAGCGCGCGGCGCCGGTTGCCGGTCCGGCGTGTCCCCACAGCACGGCCGTAAAACGTCGCCGAGTTCTCGCGTAAGACGGAAACACGCGCCGGCGGAAGGCGGCGTTGAACAGAGTGACGCACACTGCATGGGAGTTGAAACACGAGCAAGATGGCCAGCGGATACCGCTGGCGGAGAGAGCGCGCCGCGAGCCTCCAGAAGGGAGGCTGCCGCGCCCGACAAAACAACGGTAACCAAACCCGCACAGCAAGATCACCGAAATAAAACCACGCAGCGGCGAACAGGGCAGGCGCACCACACCATCGCGACCCCCGGCCATGGGCATGACCCAGACGGGGGTGAGCAGCCGCCGCCAAACGCAGGCACGCAGGCACGCACGAACGCGCGGGCGCGGGGGCGCACAAACACACACACACACTCACACACACGACGCGCGCGCGAACACAGAGCGGCGCCGCGGCACCGCGACGGCTGCGGAACGGCTGGACAGCATCGCGGACAGCAGGTACTCATAAAACGAGACGGCAAGACACGGCCTGCGCGGCCGACACGCAGCACTCACAGCACGCACAGCCCAACGCCAGGCCGAGGAGCCGCCGCCGGTCCGTCCATCCGCACCGGCCACACGCGGACACTCCCGACAGTCACAGAGTCCAAGTCACCTGGCCGAGTCAGTCACGGACCGTCCGCAGCGGGAGGCCCAGGAGACTTTGACTCCGTCTCTGAGAACTGCAGCGCGCGGACGCCGAGCCTGAGCCACACCCCGGCGGAGGCGCCGCTAGCCCTCCCGGACACGGCCGCTCGGACCTGGTCACCGGCGCTGACCCTCGCCTGCCGCGCGTCCACCGGGCGTCCGACCCCGGCTGACCGGACCGACCTCTGGCCGCAGCTAATGCCGCGGTCTGACGGCCTCCGGCGGCTCCGGGCTGGACGGGGCCCGGGTCGCGACGCGCCGGCCCGGCACGGCCGCGCCTCATCTGTACAGCCGGGAGAACTCGCGCAGCGCCTGCACCGCCTCCTGAGTCGTCTCGGCGCTGCCAACGGAAGCGCAGTCAGACGAGGGTTCGGCACGGTGAGGCACGCAGCCAGAAGCGGCAAGAGACCTGACATCAATCGGATGAACTGGTCCTGATGTACGCCAACAACCGCAGTGGACCGTAACACAGCAGACGCTATAATTATTCACTCCAGCGCACACTGGAAACGGCAAATCCTGCGCCAAAAATGTTGACCAATCGGCGTATAACCAACGAGCGTATCACGTAGGCTGGTGTGCGTATATATTATAACCACAACACCTCTGGACAAACAAGGACACATGCAACTGGGACCCTTTCCACCGGTATCGGCGCATCCGCGGCCTGCACCCACCTGGTAACAGACTTGTGGAACTCGACCAGCTGTTTGTGTGTGGCGGTGACAATGCCGCCGGCACTCTCGGTGGGTAGCGACTTGAGCGTCTGCTCCAGCAGGCGGCACACGGCCTGCAGCGGCGAAGGGCCGGTCAGGCTGGTGCCACCGCCAAGGGGCAGCCACCGCGCACGCCGAGGGGGACCAAGGGAGCGGGTGTCGCGAATCGCGAGCTGCGGGTATGCTATCGCGAATTTATTTGAGAACTTCGGAATAATACCATGGCTTTAGTGTTTTGAATGCGTGGGAACAACAAAACGCACAGATGACAACGGCCTCACAACGTATATATATAAATTAGTGTACACGCGGATTGGAGCAAGCAAACATAATGCAGGCACACTACTGCACGACCCTATACGCTGATCAGCCTGAAGCACGTCACGGAGATCCTATCACCACGAACACTTCCACGGCCACATGAGCCCGTGATCTCACCCAGATTGCACAAAGCGCGACCCCGCCTCGCGCAAACAAAGCGCTACCCTAGCACCAGCTGTCCATAACCTCCCCACTCTACCAGCTGCCCATAACTCCAACTCACCGGCCGGTCGGTGAGCAGCGCCTCCATGAACACCTCGCCGATGTCGGGGATCATGAAGCTGGCCACGCAGAAGAGCGTAGCCTGGATCAGGTTGCTGATGAGCGCGGCGCCGAACTCGACGAACGCTGCCGCCACCAGCTCCCGGCGCTGCTCGAAGTCGTCGCGCTCGTCGTGTTTGCGGCCGCAGCGCAGCAGCTCCGCCAGGTACTTGGTCACCGAGGCGTTGGCGTCCCTGCGACCGGCGGGTGCGGTGAGGCCGTGTCGGCACATGGTGAGCGGCAGCAGGTGTCAGTGACACGCTGCTTTTGACCGAGTCGACGCATGTTCTTTAGGTGCGTCGTGTGGCTCAATGCACACAATGGAGACGGAAAAGTCGGGAGCGTGACACGGTTAGGTGCTCCATATGCGACAGCGCTGACTGATTGCGCATACAACGGAATTCAAATCCACAGCTTAGCAACGGGAAATAATAAATTGGCTGTCATTGACGCCGCGCATGAGAGCGCTTTTGAGATGCAGTTCCGTTTGCATCACATCACACAGCTTCCTATCCACGATTCCGTGACCGGTAAGCGCCTCCATCAACCATGATCCAACGTGGTCGCTGACCCGGCGCGAACCAAGATTAACCTAATTACCAGCCATCACGTACAGTTCAGGCCAGGCTGAGCCCTCAGCCACGCCTGACATGACCTCGCTCTGACCTGTGGTCGAGCGTGACGGCCGACACGGCCAGCCGCGTGACGTCGGCCGCGTGTGGGTGCTGCAGATACGGCAGCGTCACGCGCTGCACCAGCCGCGTGCACAGTCGGAACAGGTCGTCCACCGTCTCCGGGTGCTGGCGCAGGCCATCCGTGCCGGAGAGCAGCGGCAGCGCCGCCGGCAGCAGGGCGTGCAGCGTCGCCAGCAACGGCGGCACGCACGCCGGCTGCGCCGCGTACTCGTCCACGATCACCTGGCGGCCGAGACGGGCACTAGCGTCGGCGCGCGCGGCCACTAGATGACGGGCGGGAGAGAGATGTGCGGACAGAGAACGCACGGCGGGGAGGAATCCCAACCCATGCGATACATGGACGACGGCCAGTTCCACAGCTGCTTGCACGGGCTATGTAACTCTAGATAATTACACAAGTTTAAGCTAATTAGAGGTCAGGAGAACACACAACAATGAGGCAGAGGTGGCAACGACTGCGGAAACATAAGCGAAGTAAGCAAATAACAATGACCCTATCACGTAAAGCATCAGCAGAGGGCACCCTTCGTTTTATCAATCGCAAAGCATATATCGAAGGATAATCCACAGCCGCGCATTCACACTCCGACCTCTCACAGTCATCCCATCACAGATGTGCATTCACACTCCGAACTCCCACAGGCATCTCATCACAGATGTGCATACACCCTGAGCTCTCACAGTCATCCCAGCACGTCACCACAGCGCGCGCCCGCAACGTGTCTCACCGAAGCCAGGTAGATGAGGCAGCTGTGCTGCGTGGAGGCGTAGATCTCGACCATCTGGGCGGTCATGGGCTGGAGGAGCGCGGCCGACTGGCTACCCACGCAGCGGACGGCGAACCGGAGGCAGCGGCAGCAGCGCTCCATCACCCGGCCGTCGCGCTGGTACCGCCGCATCACGCCCGAGAGCACCGGCCACACCTGCTGCCCAGCGCCGCACAAACACAGGTGACGGCGGGCACCAGGCCGTGGTCGGCCGCCGCCAACACACGTGTAATGCAGAGAGGCAGGCATCGCCAAGGCCTGACGACACGATAGCTCTGGGAGGCTAAAGAGGCTACAAGGGGTTGTGGAACCGCTTGTCTTGCAGTCATAAGACGGGACAACTTGATAATTACATCTTCACCCCTCGCGGTCTTCATACGGCTTGCAAACTGAGACAACGCGCCAGGGTAAGAACACGCGCCCCAGGAACGCGCACACATCACGTTCACTTCTCTAGATCAGAGCACCAACCACCTCCACGAGACCGATGATGATTTGGGCTTCACCGCGTGCCGACTGCGTTGGTCATATGGCGCCCGTTCCTCGACACCTCTCCATTTGAGAACCGCCCAACGCAGACGTCATTACCCGCGCGTAAAGCGGACCCGGGCGCGTCGCCGCAGTGGCGGCGGCTCCGGCTCACCTCCTCGAAGACGACCTTGCAGGGGTGCACCTGCCCGTTGCTGATCTCGGGGTGCGTGTGCCGGAAGACGGCGGCCAGCCGGTCCAGCCAGAGCACGGGGTCGGCGCGGCTTCCCTTGGCCGGCCGGGCGTCCCCCGCCTGCGGCGAGGCGTCGGCAGGCGTCAGGCTGCACCGGTGGCTAGGAGGCGTCAGGCCGGCGGCACACCGAACGGGCCGCACACTAATAGCACGGCCATCACGTGCATTCCCAGCCATTTGCCAGCCTCACGTGCGCTGAGGACCACGTTGCCATCGAGCGTGGTGAAGGTACGCTTTGACAAAGACTGCCGTCTTGTTAAGGACGCGGCGATCAAACTGCGAGTGTTAATCGCCGACGCAATGGCGCTCCGATCGCAACAGCTGATGAGCCCGACTCTGCAGCACATGGACGTCGAAACGCGGATCGGCGAGCTTATGAACATGGACATGGAGGAGTGGCAAGTAATCGGGCGCGGCGGGATCTGAAAGCTTATGAACATGGACATGGAGGAGAAGCAATTGATTGGGCGCGGCGACAGCCAGGGTCATTCGACACCCGTGGGGACAGCGGTCTAAGCCACACCGCATTCTGGCGCTTACTGGCAGATTCCGAAGCAAACTTAGCTTCCGCCTATTCAGAGCCGACTGAAGGCGCCATTCGGGTGCACCAAATCATCCCACCAGTTATCACCCACCAGCATTCATTGCAGTCCACCGTGATGTTGCAATTGGTAGGCACTGAAGGCGCGGCAGACACAGCCGGCACGCGCGAGCGACGCACCAGCGCCGCGTCGGCGCCGGCGACCTCACCTGGTCGACGGTCTGCCGCAGCGGCACTAGCTGTGACTGGCAGATCTTGCCGAACATCTCCGGGATCGCCTCCGTTGGCATGTTGGCCACCACCTGGCGGCGGAGGCGCGAGGCCGAGTCAGACGAGTCACTTTCCGCGACGCGGACGCGGCACGGCCTGCCACCCGCCTCCCCGGCGGAGGCGTACGGCCGAGTCAGACCAGTCACCTCCCGCGGCGCGGACACGGCACGGCCTCCCACGCGCCTCCCCGGCGGAGGTGCACGGCCGAGTCAGACCAGTCACCTCCCGCGACGCGGACACGGCGCGGCCTCCACCCGCTTTCCTACACTGCTGCTGCTGCGTACACGCGTGATGCCGTTCTAGAATGGAGACTTAACATGCTGCGCCACCAACAGCCCAATGTATGAAATGAAGAGCATCAGGTGACGATGACCTATCGTTGATGCCTGTTTTGCTGCCGTGTTCCTCTGAGACAAACAGCGCTGCTAATCAGCCGGCACCGCGGCGCGTCGAACTGCTGGAGACATTACCTCAACATCGTTGCATGTACAAATGAACGGGCCGCCGCCTACAGGCGCCGCCCCATAGACCTCTGCCGTCGCCACGGACCCCACGAGCCCGCAGCCCGCCGCCGCGCGGCACTACCTTGGCGGTGCCCTCCAGAATGCCGACGGCCGCCTCGGCCGTGATGCTGAACGTGTCGAGCGACTGGACAATCTGTACGAGACCGGTCAGATGGCCGGTCATCTGGCGGTCGCACTGGCCGCAGATGGACTTCAGGGCGCGCGCCGAGACCGTGGCCAGCTTGTCCACCCGCAGACCGGCCAGCAGGAAGTTCAGCACCGGCTCTGCGGAGGCGGAGGACAATTCAAGAGGCTGGCGATGGACAGGGCGAACGACGTCATGGCGGGCGGGGCAGGTCTGCGAACGCGGGATGGGGGCGGGAGGGCGGGGCGACGGCCGGACTAACGGAGGCTGACCCTGGCTAGACGGGCCGGTTAACTGGGGTCACCCCAGTTGACCCCAGTTGACCACAGGGACGAGGCACATCGGGAAGATGTGGCAGCCTGCCACGTAGTATGGCAGGCGACGTGCGAATCAGACTCAAAACACCCAGCAGGGCCGTAAGAACCGGATAATAACATGAGCTCCATGGTCATGCATCTAAAACATGCGCGCCATTGTAAACAGAGGACTGAACACTGCATCAGGCGCCAAGATCTTCTGGAAGACAGTGGCATTCTTAAATTATGTGAGAATGTGAAACATGTGAGACACATATACACTTAACCACTGGAGTTAGTCACTACTATTTAGCCACTGGAGCCAGATTTCACCGCACGGTGCAGGCAAACAAAAGAATAAAACGACGCAGACAAAACAGTCGCTCAACATGTAGGCGAGAAAGCCCCAAAGCCAGCCGTCTTCGCGCATGTCTCCGCGCCCCTCTCACCTAGCACAGTGGAATGCTCGAAGATCCATTCGGAAAGCCCGTTGAGCAGGTTGATGGCGGTGAAACGCAGCGCCACGTGCACGCTGTCCGGCAGAGCCAGCACCGCCTGCACCACCTCCGGCACCACGCTGTCCTGCCGACTGCACCGGCACCAGCGTTAGACGGAAGCCTGCACCACCTCCGGCACCGTGCTGTCCTGTCATGATCAACCAACGCCACACAGGCCAAAAGTGTTGGCGGTTAAGCCACATCAGTCAAAGACATCAGCGGCCGGTAAATATGAGCTTCCGAACCAGTTTTTGACGCCACTCCTGTTCATACCCCGAATAAGTAGCATTTATGAATACAAATCATGCACGTTCACAGCAGCGGACTATATTCATGACACATAATTCAAATCGAGTGCCAGAACAACCTACCGAACACGTCGTTTAGTTGCGTTACGTTGCCAATCGCTACCAATCGTTTCAGTCGCTCCCATGCGTCTTTCTTAAAGATTTAATCCGAACATTTTGAATGGACAGATTTCTGAGGTCAGAGCTCACGCTAAGCAGTGCTTGTTGTGCGAGCCCTGACCCCTACCATCCGATGGCGCAATTCTATGCCAACGGTAAAAATTTGGTAAAGAAAGGTTGACGTGCCGCAAAGCTCAGCACGGTCCGTCCTGTCCTCTGACGTCATTTGACCTTTAGCGCGACCGCTGCCACCAGCCGCAGGCCATACATGTCAAGGACAAACAGCGAGCACCTGAAACGACTCGAACCCACCCCACCACGGGTGCATGAATCAGGAGGCAGGTGCTCTAACCAACTGAGCCATCGGGACGACCTAGATTCGTGCTCACAAACTGTCTTTGAGATAATGTGATAGCAAGCCCTCAAAGCATTTCAACCGGTAGCTTCTAAGTACAGCTCTAGGCGCTCCTCCCCCTTCCACTTACGGTAGAATGTTCTTGGCGACAGTGGCCATGATGAAGAGAGCAGCCTCGCTGCTCTCCCAAGTAGCTGCCGGGTCCTGAAGGAACAGGAACATCTGGTGGAACACGTCCAGCGAGCCGCAGACGAACACGAAGTCGCGCACCAGGTCGGTCACCCGCGACCGGAAGTCTGAGAACTCGTCCTGGTCGTCGGGCGTGCCGTCCTGAGGGCACAGACGGAGAGCGGCTGTCAGAGCACCGCCAGGTCAGCACTGGGCGGTGGCGCGCGGCCAGACGCCGCAGCGACCGCGTCGGCTGCCACTTAACGGGGTGTGATCGGTACAGAGCAAGCGCGATAGTTTGACGACACTTCGGTCCATTAACACGCGCCCGGGTGGCCGGTTGAATACCGCTCGCTCGGGTGGGGGTCAATTTGAACCCCTAAGATCGCAAAATTAAGAGAGCTATAAGGACTAAATTCACACGGTGTGTTGGCCTGTATGTGAACTTACTGGTGTCAAAATTTGAGGTCCCTCGGCTATGACCTTCGCGTCAGATAAGGCCAAACAAGGTCAATCAAACTCCATATTGGTGTCCAGTGCCGCAAGACCTTCTCAGGTAACGGTCCGAATCACATGATAGACTCCATCTGACAGTGCCGACTCACGTAATCGGACTCCATCTGACAGTGCCGACTCACGTGATCAGACTCCATCTGACAGTGCCGGCAGAGCGCCAGCAGAAGCATCTCGAAGTAAGGCTTGAAGCGGCTGTAGTGGTTGCTGCTCTTCATCTGGTACAGCTCCTCGGAGAGACGGTACCAGAAGTGGAACGTCACCTCAGCCACCTGGTGACGGAGCGCAGGTGAGACGGGCACGGGACGGTCCGCGGTATCACCTGGTACAGCTCCTCGGACAGACGGTACCAGAAGTGGAACGTCACCCTCAGCCACCTGGTGACGGAGCGCGGGTGAGACGGGCACGGGACGGTTCGCGGTTATCATCTGGTACAGCTCCTCGGACAGACGGTACCAGAGGTGGAACGCCACCTCAGCCACCTGGGGACGGAGCGCGGTGAGACGGGCACGGGACGGTCCGCGGTATCATCTGGTACAGCTCCTCGGACAGACGGTACCAGAAGTGGAACGTCACCTCAGCCACCTGGTGACGGAGCGCGGGTGAGACGGGCACGGGACGGTTCGCGGTATCATCTGGTACAGCTCCTCGGACAGACGGTACCAGAAGTGGAACGTCACCTCAGCCACCTGGTGACGGAACGCCGGTGAGACGGACACGGAACGGTTCGCGGTACCATCTGGTACAGCTCCTCGGACAGACGGTACCAGAAGTGGAACGTCACCTCAGCCACCTGGTGACGGCGCGCGGGTGAGACGGGCGCGGGACGGTTCGCGGTATCAGCATGGTCTGCGTTACTACGCTGCTGTACCCTTTCCGCACCTCACTTGCCCTCCACTTCGGCGCGATCTTCCTCCCTGCAAAGCACTCGCAACAAAATGCGCTCTGACTGCTTTGCCAAATTATCTTGACTCGCTAAATGAGTCTCGCAACTGCCAAACAAAACGCAAGATCTCCTGCGTGTGGCAGCCGCCACGTTCCGTTCTCACCGATCCTTTTCTCGGTCCTCAGCCCGACCTACCCCCCCCCCCCCCCCCCCCCCTGCTCCTTCAGTCGGTATCACTAGCGCGTACCTCGTAGTCATGGTGGCCGACACAGACGAGGATCATGTCGAGCACCTGCATCGATCCTAGCCCCTGGCCGGGGTTGTTGACCAGCACGGTCACCACCGCCTCGCCCAGCTCCGTGAACACGCGACTGTAGTTGCGGCACCTGCGCGGGGTGGTCGGCGCTCCGGTGAGGGCACGAGCACAAGCCCCAACAAAATAGATCGGGGTTGCAAGCCATGGAACTGGTGGCAGATCAGCCTTGTGGAGGTCTGGACACATGGGTGGATGGGGGACGAAATGCATTGAAGGGTGTCAGTTTGACTATTTTTTTTTTGTACAACAGACCTCAAGAAACGACACGCTGACTATGAAGAAGCGACGCATCCACCTGACAGCATTTCACATCCATCACTCAGCTGCAACGAACCGCGGGGGAGACTGTCCCACCTGGCTACGTGTCTCACTTTTTTACGTCACACGCTATCGTCCCTAGCTTATGGCGCAGGCTTGTAAAAGTGTGCGCATTTCGCTGAGCGCGCGAAATTCGGAAGCATCAAAACGCCGGCTCTCCTTCAGCAACGATACCCACAGCTAAGCTAGCGTCGCACAAACTCGGTCGTGAGCATTTGCCAGCGCCGAACCACTACTCACTTGTCCACGAGCTCCTCAGCGACCGCCATCTGGTAGGGGTCCGCCAGTGTGAAGACGCCGGCGAAGAGCGCTTTGGCCAACGGGTGGTACTTGAGGTCCTCCTCGATCAGGAAGAGCGCTGAGCACACACAGTCGGTGGCCACCTCGTGCAGCGCGTCGGACGCCCTGCGACGGTGGGGCAGGCGCACTGTCAGGGGGTACCAGTGCTCCCAAACAGCCAGAGAACGTGCGGGGTCTTCACCGCAGGCAAGCACATGAAGACGATAGAGCTCTACGCCCGGGTGACATTTTTGCCATCAGACTTCAAGCCTCTTTCCAGGCGCCCCTGATTCGCAGGTCAATCACCATATGTTGCGCCACGAAAATGCCCACCACCTTTGACCCGCCAGGTCGACCCGGCGCCAAGTCCAGGACACTACTCACCCGGTGGTGTGCAGCACCTGGAAGGTAAACTTGAGCAGATCCGAGTCGGCCACCTGGATCAGCGCGTCCGCCGGGAAGGTGAACCACGAGGAGAGACAGCGCAGCAGCTTGGTCTGCAGGGCCGGCTCCGTGGTGCCCACGGAGCCGTTCTGTCCGGCCGCGCGTCAGGACAGCCAATGTTAGATTGGAGACTTCGTGCGCGCGCGCAGGGCGGGTAGCCGATCACACAGCCGACGGACAGTTTGAGTTGTTACACAGAAATGCAGACATCTCATTTTGGGGCACAGGCCTACCTGAACACAAAGCGCTTATACAACGTATGTGTGGACTGCCATAAACAACAGGCCAGGGATGCATCTGTTCAGAACATGGAATACATCCCAGCAGCTCCAACACCGCAAATCACGCCACACTTAGCTCAGTATCCCCCGGAGGCCGGGCGTTTGCCCGGTGGTAGCACGGCACCCGCCGCCGGCTGCCGTGGGCCGGCCCTCCACAACCGTCGCCCACTCACCAGCAGGTTGAGCACCAGTGGACACGTGGCCGTGCAGTAGGGCGGCCACCTGGTCGCGCCGGTTGGCGCCCAGCCGCAGGTGGCGCGAGCTGACCTCCTTCCGGGCAGCACGGTCAGCACCTCCAGCAGCGGCACCGGGTGCGACTCGCCAAACCGCGCCACCAGGTCCTCCACCGGCGTCAGCCACGACGACATCAGCAGCGCCAGGTCGGCCACCGACAGACACAGCTGCAGGCAGAGACGGGTCATCAGGCGTACAGTCCGGTCCCGGCTGTGCACACAGTGGTGCCGGCCACCGACAGACACCGCTGCAGGGAGAGGGGCGGCCCAGCGTGTGGTCAGGTCCCAGTTATGCACACAGTGGTGCCGGCCACCGACACACAGCTGCAGGGAGACAGGCGGCCAGGCGTGTGGTCAGGTCCCGGTTATGAACACAATGGTACCGACCACTGGCGGACACTGCTGCAGGTAGACATGGGCGGCCAGGTGGGCCTACACACACGGCTGCCAGGACAGATGGACCGTTTGGTGTCAGGTGGGCCTGCAGACAGCTGGTGGGAAGGGCCAGTAACATGACTTAAGTCTGATGTCAGACAATGGTGTGAGGTCGGCCCACAGATCCAGCTGCATGAGGGCATATGCCATCAGATGCATGGTCTCATGTCAGGCCTTGGGCGCGGTTGCACGAATGGACGAGTGGTCAGGTGATGGCTGACGTCATAGATAACGTCGTAACATAATGACGTCATAGCTGACGCCTACAGACGCCAGCCATGCCAACAAAGCCAGGTTCACTACACCCACCCAGCTACACAGACTGTGTACTTAACACTGCAGGCTATAGCATAGAGAACACTGCAGGTCACAGAGAACATTCTGCAAGACTGCACGACACATTTTATGTAGACTTGTCATTGGTCATCAGCGTCATCGCCATTGTCATCGTCATCGTCATCGTCATCGTCATCATCATCGTCATCAAGTCATCAAAACCTTGCAAAGCTTGCAGTGTGCAAGACGATGCAGCATATGGCCTCTGACCAAGCAGGACAGCCGCGCGCACCGCCGCCGCGCTGCGCCGCCGGCCGGCCACCGACCTGGGTCACGATGATCTGGTTGGTGGCCTGCGTGATGCACGCCATATGCTCGAGCAGCGAGTCCTTGAGCGACGCGTGCGCCTCTGGCGGCAGCTCGTGGAACGAGTACTGGATCTTGGTGCGCATGGTTTGGGCGGCGAAGTAGCACGATTCCAGGTCACGCTTGTCGTGCAGCAGCTGGTCCGCCACCTTCCAGGCCACGATCTGCCGGCCGACCGCGTCAGTCTCCGCGCAGCCCGTGCATGGAGGGCCAACACTAACATGAAGTTTAATCAATAGGAGTGTCTGTTTAAGTAGAAGGCAGCACAAACTAGTGATTGCTCATACTCCTTCTATACATTGAAACATCCCACCAAACATTGAAGCATAGTTTGGAAGGACAAGCCTGAAAAATGATCACTCCACCCACCTGTCACTCTAAGTTCCCATAAATTCCACCCCATAAGATATAAGCATATGCTATAAACTCCACCCATTTGCCCATATGAATTTGTACATCTTGCTTTACTTTGAACATCAAACAGCAAGACAGTAAACATGGGGTGTACTCACTGACTGCTGCAGCTCCTGTAGCCATTTGGAGGCATGCTCCTTGCTGGTTGGGTTGGGGTCGTTATACAGCGTCTGGATCGCCTGTGTTACCAACTCAATGGATGGTGGAGTCTCCATAACTGCAAACGAGGCAAAAGACCAACATGCCGAAGAGTTCAACCACTGTGAGGATAGGGTGATGCACAATGTTAGACTCTATCACATACAACATACAATCTGGCCATCTGAAGTCAACCTGTGGCATGGCAAATAAAATGTTGCACTCTGGTGTTGTGGTAAGCCTTGTGTTGCACTCCAGTGCTAAATGGTCAAAATGAAACTTGGATGTGGTATTCCGAGTTTGAGAGGCACGTTATTTTTGGAGCAGCTGTGGAACTCAAAGTTGGAGAAGCAAACATACATAACTGCTGGTGTCTACAGCAGTTGCAAAGCATGCCAGCTTTTTGTATGAGTCAAAACACGGTCACAATCAATCCACAAGATGAACTCATTTGAGGACGCATATGACTGATCTTGCAACTACAAACAGAAGCAGCTTGCTTATTTTTGCAACATAAATTCCAATCATATTCTGACACATGAACATGAAAAAATGCATAAAAAACAATGACTTTCAGTACAAATCCAGTTAACACTTTAATGTGAGGTAGCTATCAGCTCATGTAGTATTTTACAACCAAGAAACTAATGCAAAAGTGTGACTGGTGCTGCATGATCAATATTGACACAAGGCCAGCTTTTACTACTTAACTCTTGCTGGTGGCATAACTGGCTATAGCTGGTTGCAACTGATGATA